CATCAGGAGACGGAGAGCGCCGTGCTGTGCTGTGCCGGACAAGTGTGCTTTAATGTCAAGTTTTGCGGGTTAATAAATATCTTTGAACAGTTTGAGTTTTGACAAACTTCAGGATAGTGAGTTAAGAACTCATTTGTCACATCTCATCAAGAACATGAGGAAAGTATTACATTTGAATTGGTATGTTACCTATTAGTAATTGTTTTTTTCTCAAACCGTGGTTGTAACATTTTGTTATCATCATCTACATCAAGAAATGTTTGTTGGTTATTTTCCTCTTTTTATGTCTTATATTCTTGAAAAAAATAAAAAAAAGGTCAATTTGTTGAGGTGAAAACTGACATTGAATTTTCGAAAACATTTTACAACTTTCAGTGAAATTATCAGAATATTCTTAATGGATTTGAGAAAAAGGATGGAGGTGGTTTCCAAAACGTTATCTAAAGGAACAATATATGTAAGCAAAATTCATGAAATTTACAAATACCCGTATGAATTTTGAAAACAGTTATTTTTTGTGAATGATTCAGGATTTTTATTGACATTTTCGATATAAAATTTACCTGTTGTACAGAAGAGCTTGTAATTTATGGGATATTCAGCCATATTCTGTAGTTTTTTATTTTCTATTTTTTTTAACAGATATCAAATAAAATTTGATTTACGGATGAAATTATCGAAAACGACAAACTAGATAGAACATTTTTCTTCAAAAAACTTATCGGAGCGAACTAGAAGTTTGCCCTCTCTATACCTGTATAAAATTCTCCATTACAAATAAACATTTTTTCAAATTCTGGACGGTGGAAAGTCCCAGGAAAAAACAATGAAAACCTGCTGAAACATGTGCAACTCACAAATTAAACTGTAGGTAAATGAAAGAAAGCTGTGGCCCATGCATCAATCTGGCTTTGGAAGCGTTCACAATTACGCAACTGCTCTGAGTACTTCAACAGATGATATACTGATTGCATTTGATAGATAATAAGTGTGTACTGATATTAACAGATTTCCCTCGAGCTTTCGATATATTAGATTATGCAATATTGCTGTATATTTGACAGTATCAAAGCAACCGTGTCACCGATCGTAAGCAGTAAGTTGAAGTAGAGAATGACATTTCTGATCGATTGACAATGGAACAAGGAGTTCCACAGAATGTATACTATTTACGCATCCTATTTCCCTCTGCAGTTTTTGCAGTACCACTTACATGCAGATGATACATATGTGACAAGTATTTTGTTGTCAAAAATATCTATGGGAAATTACCGCCTTGCTATCATTTTCGAAAATTAGAGTGGAAAATCTGCAGCACGAAACAATTTAAAAATGACAATTAGGGTTGAGAAATAAATATAAGTGATCTTCACAAAATGAGAAGACGTCGAGGATTATATCCGACACCGGTCGGATATAATCCAACGCCCTTCGTGGTGTTAGCCAGGGGAGTAGTTATTTTCTTTTAGGTAATTTGATGAGTGATCTTGTTGAAAACCTTAGACTCGTCATCATAAATTACATTTCGATGATCGTATCATTCAAAGAGTGAAATCAGGATACTTCGCTCTGAAACTTGTTTATCTGTATCGTGAGAGTTTTAGGACTGCAACTAGTAACTAAGTTGGTGCTCTGCGATTTCCTGATATTGTCGCGTTCAACCAAAAGATCCAACACTCCATCTACTACTAATACATAGAATGAAAAGTAGATACAGGATATCATGAAGACTCAAAAAATGGTCAGATTTCCTCTTCTGTAGAGTGCTCAAAACGGAAACACTGGTAACTAACGGGTGATTTTTCGAAAGGTATAGGATTTGATTTTCAAAACAACACAAACATTTTAAAAAAATTAATGAAATCTTTATTGGAATCGATAGAACGATCCATATAATTTAATGTTTGAAGATGATTTCATGCAAATGTTTTCCGCGGCTCCGCTTCAGATGCCCCATGCGCAAGATCCAATTTTGGCACACTCTCTCTAACATATAAATGCTTCAATATTGGCTTCCAGAGCGTCAGTCGTTGCTGGTTTATCCCTGTAGACATGAGCTTCAACATGAACCCACAAGAAATAATCCAAAGGCGTTAAATCATACGATCTAGGCGGCCAATTTACGGGCCCCAAACGTGAGATAAACTGTTCATCAAAGGCGGCTCTTAATTGGGCCATGATGTCGCCGTGTGGCATGTGGAACCTTCTTGTTGAAACCACGTGTCAGGCATATCCAATTCTTCCATTTTGGGCAACAAAAAGTCGTCAATCATCACACGGTAGCGCTCGCCATTCACAGTAACGTTCCGGCCATTGTCGTATTTGAAGAAGTACGGCCCGATGATGCTACCGACTCATAATCCATACCAAACAGTGACTTTTTCGGGATGCATCGGTTGCTCTTGCAATGCTTGTGGCTGGTCTTCACTCCAGATGCGGCAATTTTGCTTATTAACGTATCCATTCCACCAGAAATGAGCCTCGTCGCTGAACACAATTTTTCGATAAAAATGTGGATCTTCCTTCAACTTTGCCAGCGCCCATTCACTGAATGTTAGTCGTTGTGGGAGGTCGTTTGGCTTCAATTCTTGTACCAGCTGTATCTTATAAGGTTTTACACCCAAATTGCTGCGAACGGCGGCGAATCGACATTTCACGGTTATCGCGAACACTGGCGGATACAGCCGCGATATTTTCTTTGGTCCTCACTCTACGTATGCGTGTTGGTGGTTTAATGTCCAATAATGTAAACTGGGTTCGAAATTTAGTCACAAGCTTTCGAATAGCTCCCTCAGTGGATCGACGGAACTGCCCATAAATTAGAAGGAGTGCACGATGCACTTTCTTCACCGAGCATGAATTTTGATAATAAAATTCAATAATCTGCAAGCGGTGCCCATTCGTAAGTCGATTCATGGTTGAATTATAGACCAAACTGAACAAGTTTGACAATGACATAAGACACACAAAAACAGTGTTGGCAAAAAGATACCAGCCAAAAAATCACTCATTATCTAGCTAGGAAGGTTAAATTGAGAACAGATGTTCATAACCTGAATTTCAGAAAAATGAGTTGAACTGTAGCCTGAAAAAAATTTTCAAATCAAGCATCACATACTAAATAGAATTAGCCGGACCTTTCTTGAATATACCTAATTTTTCTTTATCTATCAACTTTTTCTCTCGGATTTGTGAAATATTGTTATTACTGCCACAATAATCCCACTTCACATTCACTCATTCAATATTAATCATTATTCCATCACGGACTGCAATGATTATAATAACTATCCCAATAGAATGGTCTGGATAGAGTCTCCGGGCTTCTGAGACAAAATATCAATATTTCATCTATTTCTCCTTTTCATTTCGAACAATATTCGTCTTATTCGCAGCTGAAAACTCCACGACAATATAGTCTTGACCTAACGGTCGAGAACTCCAGCAGGCTCATTAGATTGTATGAACGTGAGGGTGGGAAATGGTCGGTTTGAACAAATTCTGCACTTCTCATTCTCCACAACGGATTTAACATCCTCTGGAGCAAAGCGCAACACCATAACCGTGTCGTGAATGGTATTGAAGTACTCTTGAGTTTACGTTATATCAAGGGATATAGGCTCAAGAAAGCGATGGTCATATACTCTTGAATGTTGTTAAAGAAGACCTCATGGATCGGCTCATTTTTATACTGCCACAGACGTGAACCAATCTCTGCGGCTTTACTATGGTCGTTTTGCTGAACGGGTTCCGAATTGGTAACAGAGTTGTATTTATCTCGTTCAGGGTGGAAAACTAAATCGAAGCCGCTCTGTCAGTTCCAATACTCCTTCATGGTCGCAGTCCATGCAGAGAAGGTGATCGCAGCTGCTGATGAATTTACAGTTTCCATCCAGTACCATTCTGTCATGGAGATACTCCATTCACGGCCTCCCCGTTATTGGGAGACGTAGAACTGTGTGTTGGACGATTTGGGTTGGAAATTTTATGAAGATGCATCATTTTTCGGATCTTTACATCATGATTGGGACGATAAGCATATTCGTATTACCAACTTTGTTGTTTCTCGACAGTTCCGATGACCAGAAATGTTGGAGTTTGTGCTGATACTTGCCGGGGAGACAGTGTTTCATTGAGGTTACTTCTTGTGTGTGGCGTTGTTCCACCCTCAGGTGATTACACGTCTCTCCGGTATCAAGGTGTTACAAGATGCTTCAGTCCCCGCATCGTTCTCTTCTCATATCGAATTCAATAACGATACCATGCGTCAATTCTATCACCACCCTCGAAAATCTTTTTTGCCAGAGACATAAAACTTGAGATCATCCGTATAAAACAAATGGGGTGACACCCCATTTGTATTTTTGAGCGCAACGGATAATGGCAACAGTGAGATGCAGGAAAGAATGCGACTGAGGTAATCGCACTGTTTCCTTCTGAAAGTGACCCGCTGTTTGGACTCTAGACTGACCAGATGCCAGTCCTTCACAGTGGTAGCTATCAGTTGTTCATTACATCTTACGATTTTGTCTGGTACCCCAAGACATCTGAAAAAATGTATGATAAGCTCATGCGATGTTTCATTGAATGACTTGCGATAATCGATCCAGGCCATAGAGATGATACTTTTATACTATTAAAGTCCTGCGTTACACATCTGTCGATGGATAGGTTCTCGTTACAACCAGATAATTCTCGCTTTGACCATCTCTGCTCATATATCCGTTAATGACAAGATGTAATAATATAGAACCTTCTCTTTATCCCCAAAGCCAGTATTGTCGAGAAATTGTTTATCAATTACCCTCAATCACAAATTCAGTCAGATCATATGAACGAAAGCCTTGTAAAATGTGAAATTCATGTCGTCAGCTTTCGCTCGCATTATATCTACTACACGAGTCATTGTTTGTACAGCGGAGTATGTATACTAACTAACGCTAATTGCTATACTACCCGCAATGTATATAATATGTTAACTGAAATCGAGAACTACTCACCGAGGAGCGTCATTAATGAGAGCCAGTTTGCCGAAATCGTCTGATTCATGGAGGGTGTTTACGGTGCCTTTGCCGTGTATGACAACATCTACCGATCCTCGAATAATGATGTACCAAGATCGTCCTTCGTCGCCCTGGTGAAAAACTGGAAAAAGAAAATGGAAAAAAATAATAATACAAGTGTCATTCACAAGCGAGAGGCTGGTGGTGCTACAGTCTATTGTTAGATGTAATTGCAATATCTCGAAGAAGGAAACATTTCAGGATAACTTGGGAAAGGGAATTGAAGTTCGTTTGGTGTGTTAGGTAATTCTGAAACTTAATTTCATGATGATGATGATGAATTTTTTTCTATTCAACTGAGTACCAAAACTGTATGGAGGATAATTAGGTACATGAGTTGGCATAGAGATTCTCTAATTTCTCTAAGTTGGGGACTCAGTACTCCCATATATACACACACAGAAATACATATGTTTTGTCTAATATAGGCGAGAAAGCAATTTGTAGAATTGTAACAAGATATCAAACATATCCCTGAGAGATGGGATATGTTATTTTTTTCAAGGACAAAACACAAGCAGTACATGAAAATCCTTAAGTCGCTCTCAGAGCGGTGTCTGTGCAGAAGTAGCGATTCACGTTGGATTTGAATCACTGGAGAATAAATCTATTTGAAAAAACACAGTTCATCAAATGAAAGAGATCTTAAACAGGAAATTTTGAAGTGTACTGAGTTGAACCCCAAAGCGATGACCAGCCACTGTCCGTATTTCTCATATGTATCGCTCTTGGTGGAATCAAGTTTGCACAGTTACTTGAACACTTCCCGTGAAAGTATCTATAGTATCTTTCTTCGATGTTCTAGACTATCAAGGTTACAAGTGATGTAACAATCAGGTGGATAGCTCTTTTCTGGATGGAATCCAGCAGCTTTAGGATAGGTTTGGGGGCAGAGCTCCATACATGAGAATGATACTCCAAAGAAGGTCTGATCTGAGCTTTATAAAGCATCAAAAGTTGCTGAGGTGTGTACAGTTTTCAGCTTTGGAACAGTGTTCTAAGCTTTTCAGAAGCAGTCTTTGCAATTTCAGCTACATGATCGTGCCAAGACTTATTAGTGTCCATTTGAACCCCTAACAAGCTAATCGAAGCAGAGAGCGGAGTTGTCTGTCCTGACATTATTATATCCAGTTCGGAAACATTTATCTTCTTAGAGAAAACCGATGCCTGGGTTTTTGTGGCATCAAATTGAATCTGGTTACTTTCAACCCAATTCGAAATTACTTCTATATCCTCAAGATATTCAACCTCCTGCTGCTGGTGAAGATGTGCATCCGTAGCTGATGTCCTGGAATCTAAATAAAATGACGAGACAAGTGTGCTGTCATTAGCAGAGCAGGTTGAAACTACAGGTTCTGAATTCTTTGTATTGTCACACAATCCACAATATGGCAGTCATCTGACAAGTTATGAGTATGACTAGTGCTGGTATATCGACCTCAGAATTTAACGAAGTGGAAGTTTTATATATGATTGAAAGATAGAACTGAAACTCTCGACATAGAATGGAAACAAAAAAAATACAGCTAAGACACGTCAAAACTGCAGCATTCCTCTGACCCGCGTTGTATAATTCATGCTGGTGTCATCAGTAGATGAACTATACCAATTCATGAATCTAGATTCACCTATTCATATCTTACCCGACGAACCCCTCATTCTCTTCCAAGCCACACAAGGAAATTATCTCGGGAAAGTGTTAACTTTAGGTGGGTGACTTTTGAAAGGATAAGTCATGAGCTGAATAATACCTTTGTCATTGTTCATAGTTCTCATGTCACATTCCGCTATAATCACACTTTCGAGAGCATCCAGAAGTACAGTGTCACGTATCAGTCTCAACAATTTCAAATGATGTTAATTTACTGTAGGACCATTTCAGGCCTATGAGATTGAGACGAGTTTAAGCAATTCATCTGTTTCGACCAACAACTTTATTGTCATACTGATCGCAGTTTATTTCATATATACTAGGGCTCTTCTTCAATAAGTCGAGTATTCGCTATACAAGTATTGATTTATCCAGTATGTTTTCCAGAGCTTTCATATACTTCCTATCTTTCTTTGTAGAGAGATAAACCTATGAATGCATTCCAATTATGTTCCAATAAGTGAATTTAGTATTGAGTCTTCCATCTCCCTTTCCTTTTTGTTTCAATACTGCAAATTCTTTTTTTTTGTTCATGCGCTTCAGATATTATCATGTATATATTGGCTACAAAAGTAGACAATAAGCAATTCTGCTTTATGCAGATTTGTGTTACCTATATGTGTTTCTCGACTCCTCCAACATTTGCACCATTGATCCTACGAATATTTCCCGAATATTAAATAGTTTTTTTCATAAAAATTTCGAAAACAAAAATAATTCATCCTCAATTTTTCAATTTTGGTAAACTTATGGTGAAGAGTACGCACAGATTTTCCGGACGAGTGCTCAAAGTCGGCATGATTAAATTTTGACATTTTTCGAAAGCGTTTCATCGTTAAGGTGGTAACCAATGTGAAAAAACACAAACTTTATGACACTGTTTTTACTACATGTTTCAGATCTAATCATGTCCAGACATTCTTATAACAAACGTTATTGAATATTTGAGGTATTTTTTCAGAACCATCAGTCTAGGTGGTGAAGTAGTCGAAGTATACTTACAGATAAAACGACAGACTTGCTTGTATTCCAACCAGCTGATGAAACCGATATACAGATGACGTAGTTGCAATTTTTGAAATGAAGAAACGTTGGAGACTATTTATGAAATTGAAAACAAAGTGAAGCGACCATTTGGTGACGTATAGAAAGAATACTAGTAATTTCAGATATATTTTTGACAGCCACACCATTGTCCTCAAAAAAATGAGGGTCATCAGTTCTTTGATACTGCACTACTTAAAACCTACGGTCTGATGAAAATCCACAAGTTTGGTATGTAGTTGTGACCAATTGTTTTCAATACAGGTTCCATTATGTGGAAAGTAGTCAAAAGTCTACAGTTTGAAACACACTAGATCTCAATCAAGTTTGAGTATGGTTGAGTCAGAATAATTCACAGAGAAAATTAAGGATGTGGGGTTATGACATGAAACAATTTTTATGTTTGAGTATTCTGATTTGAATATTTGAGGTATCTTCTTAAAGTCAGTAGTATAAGTGGTAAATTAGCCGAACAATATCTCCAGCTAACATAAATTTGCTCAGGCAGGATTACTTGTAACTCAACAACTGTGGATCCAATAATATGTGGATGGTGTATTTGCGATTTCTGACATGAAGAAAAGTAAGATATTAATAATGAAATCGAAAACAAACAGGGACGACCAATCTATGAAGAAACTATAATGGTAGATTCAGATATTTGACAGCTTTCACCATTGTCCACAACTAAAAACAGCAAGACTATACTTTTTTGTTTACTAATTATTGTTTACTAAATAATTACCGAATTATTCAGAAAACAAATTCTAAAAGAGCCTTCATAAATCAACAACATGAAAAGACGATGAGTCTAAGTTTATTGTTTTTACATATGAACCAAGATACACTAGGAGTCGAGTCGAATTTTTCAAGTACTGAACATAGAGGTGGCTTCCAAACATTCAAGTATTGAGCAGGCCTGAAGACGATATGATGGAAACCGATAAGTCTGGGAACTGCGAGTACTGTAACAGAAAGTATGTTGGTCAAACTAGACAATCTATTGAAATTCGACTCGATTTTGTGATCCAGAAAAGTCTAGTGTCGTTCATTGAGCTTAATAGAATAATCACAGAATTTGTGAATATTACTTGAAATTGTTGAGACTGGACTTTTGGACGCTTTTGGAAGTCTGTAAATGGAAAAGTGCGATACTATAACTATAAACACCAAGAAAGCTATCATACCAAAAAGACTATCAATGAATTTTCCATTACCCGCTCTCCTTCAATAATCAAATATTGTTCAGCTAATTTGTACTCTAAAAATAATTGTTGTTGTGAGTAATGGTGTCAAAATTGATTCTGTTCGATATAAATAGGTTGAGTTGAGTTTAAAGAGCCTTTATTTCATAAATGTGGAAAGAGAAAAAAACCTATTTTATCTTCTGATAACGTCAACTTGGGTGGTGAGAAGTACATCAAGAAGAATGTGGCAGGTCTGATGTATAGGAACAGTGTTTGTGTTGAATCTGACTATTGAAAGACAACAAGTATAACTGAGGCACCGGTCAATCGAATGATAACACTGATGATCTTCAAACCCGACTCAACCACTGACGGAAGTACCAAACTCTTACAAAGGTTCGAAATAGATGAACACTTCAATCTAGTGGACCACTATTATATTCTTCATGCAGTCATTGTTCACTGTGGTTCTGGCGTTGAATCTGATCATTATTACGCATTGGTCAAAGACGAAACGGATTAAGTTTGACGATAGTCGTGCCACTAAATATTCTAGCAAAATCTTGAATTTATTGGAGCCTCTGGAGACATTCTACATTTTATTCTATGAAAGAGAGGACATTGGCAGATGATGTGGTGCTGCAGGTTTTTCCGGGTATTCCTGCAGCCGAAAAAGCAAATGCGTCACTGGAATTAATCAAGTTGCCTCGGAGCGCCTATTAATTTTTGTTGTTGTTTCAAAATTTCATAATTTGTATTGCTTTCAATAAAACTTTTAATGATGATTATGTCAAAGTCATATCAGAAACTCACATAAATTTCTATGGTTCTTTGAAATACGTTTGAATACATTTGAATGAATTCATGGTATATTTGAAGCTCATGAACAAATATTGAATCATTGAATTTAGTTTACATTAGTTCTGAGAGAGTACGACTCGTTTAAAAATTGAATTCAAAGACCATTGACGATGTATCGTCATAATATAATCAAGAATGAATTTCAATCAGTGATATCCAACCAGTCCTTTGTTGGTTTTATCTTTCTCCTCTAATGAATTTCGCAAGGATTCGTTGAAGTGAGAATTGTGTTCTTATTTCAACTCCGATTGATACTCACGAACAGTTCCTGCTTTCGGATGTGCCTCGAACACAATAACGGAAGCCAATTCTCGCTTGACGGAATTGGACAGATGCGCCAGGGCCCTTATGTGGAGCAGCTCTTCGTATATCGTTTCTTGGTCGTCGGGTGTCCTTTCGTGACTCCTGTGGAAGACAAGGAACATAATGAATCATCTGGAATGTTGATTTTGGTCTGGAGTAGTATTGATCTTTATTACAAAGTGAAAAACATTGAAGTAACTGATTTGCTCTGTGAAATAGTATTCAAAATACATTTAATTAATGAGTATGAATTATCAGTCGAAGCGATAATTGTCTTGAGTGTGTCTACCGTTTATTTATCGTATGTAATGAATTATTTCTTCTAAATAATAAGTTTTAAATACAAATATTTGACACTTTGGGTTACACTATTGCAATATTCGTAGGGTTCTCTGATTTTTCGAAAATAATAGATATCATGAAATCGAATAGTTAGTTATCAAATTTATCCACTTCCAATTGTTAATATCAGTTAATTCCTGGATCCTACCTACACGATGTGCAACAAATTATTTGTTGTCCTACCTACCTACACGATGTCCTACCTACACGATGTGCAACAAATTATTTGAATCGTCTGCTATTTATTTAGACCCAAAATTGATTTGGAGTCTGACCAGAAAACCGTTCGTGAAATGGAGACCTTAAATTTTTCCTCCTCGTCATCATATCTATGGACTCGTGGAAAATAACTCTCATGTGAACCATTGAACAGGGTGATTGTTGGCTTGCATTGAGTATGACTGAAGATCAATTCACTCAGCAGAATATACTTTTTAAAAATAGCATCTCGAAAATTTTGACACAACAGCCTTCAATAGCTTCCAGCTAATCATCTCTTTCAAATAATCTCAGTACATTGAAAATTGTTCTTTGTTTGAAACAATTCACGTATGTGAAAATATTCATTTGATAGATCATTACTGTCTCACACATGAAAAGAGCAGATTTTTCTCGAAGCCTCGGAAGAACTGACAGTTGCTACTGGCAATATCTTTATTGACAGTGGTAACCACGCTCTACGAGTATCTCATTTGGAAGAAACTTACAGGGAAAGTGAATGTCGAGCGACTTCATATAATTTGTTTTACGGTTGAAAAAGCAGAACCAGGATTTTTCCGAAATATCAAACCTTTTACTCATGACCAACTTTCTGGAACATTGTGCATATAATCAAAAGCAAATGCAGCATGCCAACTTTTGATTCCATGTACTTCTGACGACAAAGGTTGTTATTCAAAAAATAAAATATGTGAAGATGTAACCCTGACAACAAAAACCGTTTCCAAAACTTGTATGTGTTGTAGAAATGAAATTCATCATTTGACTGTTTGTCAACGCCTTCTCAACAGACGAAAGATGGTCCTTCACAACATTTTAAAAAAATATGTTTTTTTTGTCTGTTTCCATTTCACAGCATCAAAAATTGTAAAAAAAGAAAATTGTGCAATATCAATGGTTGTCAAAAGCTTTATCATGAATTGTTACATAAAGATTATAGTCAAGAGACAAATATTAAAAAAAATGCAGTTGTTGAAACTAACTGTCACATATTGACAAACAGAAAAGTATTACTCAAAATTTTACCCGTGATGATCTATAAAAGAAAACAATGGACAATGCTTCAACAGTTTTATTTGAAGACGACGATTTTGCCGATGAATTGAATTTGACAGGTCCTGAACAATTACAATGAACAAATAATCAAGTGGAAGAATAGAATAATTCAAGAGTTGTCAGTTTCAAAATATCTTCCCATTCAAATCAAAATTAAAATTTCTATGTGCGTCACGTTCGAACAATCAAAGGTTTATCTTTACCAAGCCAAACGGTGAATGTCAGTTAGATTTCTGAACGTTATACATATAGAGACAACAAATTCAAATCATTAGCTGAGGCTCAACCAAAAATTTTGATTGGGCAAGATAATTTGCAATTACTGGTAAGTACAAAAGTTATATCAGGACCTTGGCATGGGCCTGCAGCCAGTAAAACGCCTTTTGGATGGATTATACATGATAATTTTAGGAATAATGATCAAACTGTACCTAAAAATTTCGTTTGTTATACAGATTGCAAGGTGAAGGACGATCTCGACATTCTACATGATCTTGTCAAGGAGCACTGGAAAATCGAGACTTATACAAGAAGAAGCTTAGCACAAGAAGCAAAAAATAAAAACGCTCAAGACTTCAGCCAGTATTACCCGAAAGCAGCAAGGGATATAATCGACGCTTACTCCTCTTGTAGGAGCAGATACGGCAGAAGAAGCAACTCAGATTATAAATGATGTAATATATGTACAAAGTTAAGGAAATTTTGAAATTCGTAATTGGATAGCTAACGATTCACATAAATTGAAGGATGTAGATGATAGGTTATTAGCTGATTGTCAAAAAAAATCGATAAAAACGAATCGTCAAACGAAAGTATATTAGGTCTCTGGTGGGATTCTAAAGACAACACATTCACTTTCAAAACCAATTTCCATAAAATAGATAAAATTCTATTAGATACTGGACGGAAACCATCTAAAAGAGAAGTTTTGAAAGTGGTGATTTTGATTTTTTAACCCCTACGCCTATGCCTACGCCTACACTGCTGTAGGTTACATTCGTTGGGAACAAAACAAAAATGTAAAAATTTGCTTCGTGAATGACAAAACTCGAGTATTGCCTCTAAAACCTTTATCAATACCCCGCCTGGAATTGCAGGCTGCATTGATGGGAGCTGGATTAGGTTCTTATTTGACAAAATCTCTACAACTCGCTATTTCAAGAACGTTCTATTGGATATTGGACTGATTCACAAACCGTACTCTATTGTATACGTTCGGAAGAAGACGATTTGAAATGTTCGTTGCGCAACGCCTTGGAGAAATACAAGAATTAAAGCAACGTTTTTGAGTGGAAGTATGTTCCGTCAAAGCACAACGTTGTAGATGAAGCAACCAAAAGTTATGGTGAAATGAATTTCACAGTTGAAAGCAGATGGATAAATTAGAAATGAGGAAAGATTTTGTTTGCGTACAGACATTTTAGTGCTTGGTGAAATCTAAACTCTACAAGTCAAACATTTTTCAAAATGGCAAAAATTATTATGTTCAACCGCACGGATGTTCAGATTCGTAAATACTTGCAGAAAAAACAGAAAAGATGGGGAACTTGATGTACTGGAATTGAACAGAGCAAAAATTCAGTTATGGAAAAAGGTACAGTTTGAATCATACTCTCAAGAAATATTAATTCTCAAAAGAAAAGGAAAACTGACGCCGTAAAATAGATTGTACACATTTGATTGTTCATTTGATGAAACCGTGGGACTGATAAAATTTTATGGAAGAATTGATGATGCATTTGTGAATGAAAACACGAAAAGGCCTGTCGTATTGAATACCAAACATGAAATCACAAAATTAATCATCAAATACCACCATGAACATGGTGAAGAAACAGTTGTCAATAATCTACTCCAAGAATATTGCATTTCCAAAATTCGCCAAGCAGTTCGAAGCTGTTGGACAAATTTTAAAATTTGTTGAAACGGAAGTTCTCCAAAAATACCTCTAATGGGACAATTTCCAATTTGTCGACTCGAACCCACTGTGAGGCCATATTTCAAAACCGAAGTGGGCTATTTTGGACCAATTGAAATAACTGTGAAAATATCATGCGAGAAACTACATTGTGTAACAACGAAAACTTAACAGAGCCGTTTTTGAATATAAAAAGTGAGATTTTTAAAAAAATGCTCGGACACATCGATTTCTAATGAAAGGGGGACACCTTTCAGATTAATCAGATTTTTTGTAGTACGCACCCCCTCGGAGGGGTGCGTCCGACGACCCTTATTTAGATAGGGAAAGTAGGTCGAGTGGCACCTTGTTTTAAAGGTCTTTCGAATATCTTTACAACTTTGTTAAAAGAAATTTTTTGTAACGATTAGTTTACGAGATAATTTGAAGTTAAAATTGCCATGTTAATAATACATTAGACAGACCACTCGGTAACTTGTATGCCTAAATAAAAAAAATTTCGAGCAGTTCTTCTTATCAGTTTTTTGTTAAATAAAATCCCTTTTTTAAAATCAATACTCACTCCTCTTCTTCCAGTTTTCATTAGAACATCGTTCGATTGTTTTGTTTAAACCAAATCTCCTACTGTCGTGTATTGTTATTTGTTAAAAAATGCCTTACACTACTGCTGAGAGGGTTTCAGTTATTGCTTCATTTTTTGGCAACGACCAAAATGCTAATAGAACATTGATTTTATTCAACGAGCAAAACGCTGGTAAACACCTAAGCAGAAATCACGTTCTGGATTTGATCACAAAATTCAGGGAGACAGGTTCGGTTTTGAATAAGAAAAGGAATGTTCAGAGAAGGGTAGTTAATGACGATGATGCGATTGGAGTTATTGGTCAAATCATCGCCAATCCCAGGTTAAGTACCAGAGGTTTATCAGCCATGGCCGGAATAAGCCATATGAGCGCATGGAGAATCCTTATAAACCACAAATTCCATCCTTACAAAATTGAACTTGTTCATGAACTCAATGAGGATGATTTTGACCGATGACAGGAGTTTTGTGAGGGCATGAGTGAGATATTAATGCAAAATCCCGAGCTGTTTTATAACATCTGTTTTTCGGACGAAAGCTCATTTTATTTAAATGGTTGCGTGAACCGTCACAATTGCCGTTATTGGTCGGATGAAAACCCTCATGTATTCAGAAAATTTGGTTGCAGAAGAGGTTTCCCAGAAAAAAATTTCAGCGATAATGGAACCAACTTCAAAGGAGTAGAAGCGGAACTGGCAGAAAATCTTCAGAATATGGACCAAGAGGAAATTCACTGTTGCACACTGAAAAATGCTAAATCAGCATTCAACCCACCGTTAGCACCGCATATGGGTGACGCATGGAAACGTTTGATACAATCCATCAAGAAACATTCGAAAGAAATTTTAAGGAAAACATATCCCCAAGAATATGTCTTGAGGACATCCTCCGCAGAAATAGAGAACATTTTAAACTCCCGACCACTGACGCACGTATCCACTGATCCAAATGATTCTGATGCACTGACTTCAAACCTTTTGTTGA